GAAAAGGTAGAGTAAAATTCAATATAAGAGATAACAAATGGGACGTGTAGGGCACCTACCATGAATGGAGCAAGCCTGCAGGGCTGGCGGTTGCTCTGGGTAAGTCGGTGGGTAAATAGAAAGGCCTGGATATTACTGCACCTTACTCCCTTTTTCTTTCTTTTTTTTTGTGACAGAGTCTCACTGTGTCACCCAGGCTGGAGTGCAATGGTACAGCCTCTACTTACTACAACCTCTGCCTCCCAGGTTCAAGCAGTTTTTGTGCTTCAGTCTCCCGAGTAGCTGGGATTACAGATGCACACCACCCTACCCAGCTAATTTTTTTATTTTCGATAGAGATGGGGTTTCACCATGTTGTCTGGGCGGGTCTCCAACTCCCAGCCTCAAGTGATCTGCTTGCCTCCGCCTCCCAAAGTGCTGAGGTTACAGGTGTGAGCCACTGCGTCTGGCCAAATTTTTTCTATTTTAAACAGAGGTGGGGTTTCTCCATGTTGGTCAGGCTGGTCTCAAACACCCAACCTCAGGTGATCCGCCTGCCTTGGCCTCCCAAAGTGCTTGCTGGGGTTACAGGCATGAGCCACTGACCCTGCCCAGGTCTTTTTTTTTTTTTTTTTTTTTTGAGATGGAGTCTTGCTCTGTAGCCCAGGCTGGCGTGTAGCCGTGTCATCTCGGCTCACTGAACTTCCACCTCCTGGGTTCAAGTGATTCTCCTGCCTCGGCCCTCCAAGTAGCTGGGATTATAGATGCGCACCACCATGTGTGGCTGATTTTTGTATTTTTAATAGAGATGGGGTTTCACCTGGTTGGCCAGGCTAGTCTCGAACTCCTGACTTTGTGATCCGCCTGCCTCAGCCTCCCAAAGTGTTGGGATTACAGGCATGAGCCACAGCACCCAGCCAAGTCTCTTAAATGTAAGGATGTTAACCTGTGAGGCTAGATGTCATGGAGTGTAGGGTTGGAAATGTTAAGACAGGAAAGAAGGCTATGGGCAGTGTGATATGTACCTAGGACTAAGACTGCTTACATGGCCAAATGGCACTGAGCCTTCCCTGTTACCATCACACTGCCAGCCTCAGCACCCCTCTTCTCAAGCCCAGAGCGAAGGAATGGACCCTGGCTGTCCTATTCAGAACCCACAGCAGGTGACAGTAGAAGTATCCCCACAGTGGGTTCCTCAGGAACCTGCCGGGTGTGGTGGCTCACCCCTGTAATCCTAGCTCTTTGGGAACCCAGACAGGAGGGTCACTTGAGGCCAGGAGTTTGAGACCAGCCTGGGCAACATAGCAAGACCCTGTCTCTACAAAAATTTTTTTTTTTTTTTTTTTTTTTTGAGATGGAGTTTCGCTCTTGTTACCCAGGCTGGAGTGCAATGGCGCAATCTCGGCTCACCGCAACCTCCGCCTCCTGGGTTCAGGCAATTCTCCTGCCTCAGCCTCCTGAGTAGCTGGGATTACAGGCACGCGCCACCATGCCCGGCTAATTTTTTTGTATTTTTAGTAAAGATGGGGTTTCACCATGTTGACCAGGATGGTCTCGATCTCTTGACCTCGTGATCCACCCATCTCGGCCTCCCAAAGTGCTGGGATTACAGGCGTGAGCCACCGCGCCCGGCTTCAAAAATTTTTAAAAAAATATCCTATTGCGTCTACATATGAGAAAAAAAAAAAATAGCTGGGTGCGGCAGCACAGGCCTGTAGTCTCAGCTACTCAGGAGGCTAAGGTGGGAGGATCGCCTGAGCCCAGGAGGTAGAGGCTGCGGTGAGCCATGATTGCACGACTGCACTCCAGCCTGGGTGACAGAGCAAGACACTGTCAAAAATAAAAAGGCAGGGCACAGACCTCACGCTGACTGCTCCAGCCACACTGGCCGCTGGCATACCCAAGCACATGCCAGGACACCCTGCCGCAGGGCCTCTGTACCTGCTGTCCCTCTCTGGAACAGGTGTCCCCAGATGGCTGGATGCCCTCACTTCCTTCTGCTCTCTGGCTTATAGTTGACACTGAATAAATACTGGTCAAATGCATGCTAAGCTGTGTCATCCTGGGATGTTACTCAACCTCTGTGTCTCAGTGAGCCTCAAGTGCAAAACAAGGACAACAGCAGCCTTGTATTCACTGAGATGAGACCCACCCATCATGGTGGTGGATTCCAAACACTCATCATGATGACACTTGGGTTGCAAAATCAGGACCAGCCTGAGCTTCCAACGCTGGCCTGCCTGAACATTACCTGATTCATGGCCGGGATCTTGTCCCATTGGTTCTTTGTCGGGTTGTACACGTCCACCTCGGCGGAGTCATCCCTGCAGAGGGGGCAGTGGAAGGACAACTGCTCAGAGCGAGGAGAAAACGCCCTCAGGTGCACAGGGCTGGAGCGGAATCTCCCCGAGTCACTGACTTCCCCAGTGATCTGGATCTTTCTGATGCCATCCAGCAGCTCCCTTTCCAGGTGGGCTCCATCCCCAGCTCTTAGGGGCCAATTTTAGCCCCCTGTGCCCACCCAGCCAGGGCATCAGGGCTGGAACCTTTGCTCCCAAACTTGAAGATCAGGATTTTGAGGACCTGAAGCACCTTCAATGCCTCCCCATCGCTCTGTACCAAGGTGGCTGTCCCCCTAGTATCAAGGCTACAGGAGCTCCCTTTAGATCTTTAAACAGGTTCCTGGCTTCACTGTGCATCCCCACATGCCCTGGAGCATTCCTTGCCACTGTCCCCAGTATCACTGGGAGCCCCCAACCCTGCCCTGTTCACTATGATGTTGAAGTGCCCCTCACTTTGGGATCAAGACCCCTTCAACTTCATTTGACAACCTTCTTTTTCCCACAGAAAAAGGCTCAAAGGCACAGCCTTGAAAAGCAAAAAAGATACAGGCCAGGCACTGTGGCTCACGTCTATAATTCCAGCGCTTTGGGAGGCTGAGGCAGGTGGAGTGCCTTAAGTCAGGAGTTAGAGACCAGCATGGCCAATATGGTAAAACCCTGTCTCTACTAAAAATATAAAAATTAGCAGGGTGTGGCGGTACGTGCCTGTAAGACTAGCTGCCCGGGAGGCTGAGGCAAGAGAATCACTTGCACCTGGGAGGCAGAGATTGCAGCGAGCAGAGTGTACTGCACTCCAGCCTGGGTGACAGAGTGAGTGACACTCTGTCTCTTGGAGAAAAAAAAAAAAAAAAAAAAAAAAGTGCCGGCTTTGTGGCTCACGCCCGTAATCCCAACACTTTGTAAGGTCAGGGCAGGTGAATCACCTGAGGCTGGGAGTTAGAGACCAGCCTGACCAAAATGGAGAAAATCCGTTCCTACTAAAAATACAGTATTAGCTGGGCGTGGTGGCTCATGCCTGTAATCCCAGCTACTCGAGAGGCTGAGGCAAGAGAATCACTTGAACCTGGGAGGCGGAGTTTGTAGTGAGCCAAGAATGCACCATTGCACTCCAGCCTGGGCAACAAGAGCAACACTCCGTCTCAACAACAAAACAACAACAACAACAAAGTAACGCAAAGACACTACAAAACAAACAACAGTAGTTGTGGACCAGACACTCCAGTACAAAACCAGAAAACCAGCCCCAGATAATGCAGATAAGCAGCTGGCTGCATTCCAAGGAAACTTCATTCATGGACACTGACAGTTACATTCTGTGTAACTTGAAATGTTACTCTTGTCTTGATTTTTAGCCCCCATTTCAAAATGTCAAATCCACCCTCAGTTTGTGGGCCCTATGGGGGTGATGATGATCATTAAACACTGGAATCTGCTAGGCTGCCCTTTCTTTCCCCAGCAGAGACCTGCAAAACACAGCCTGGACGCTGGGCTGGACAGAGGTCGCCGGCATTCCCAGAGGGGGCTACTGGACCCCAGCCAAGGAGCCATCTTGTACCAGAACCAAGGGGAGGGAGGCTCAGCTCATTCGTGGGTCACACAGACAACGGCCAAGGCTATGGCCTCCCCGAAGATGGCATGTACTAGACACAAGCTAGTCAAAGACAGGTGGTGTTCTTGGGGGAGGGTTATGTGGCTCTTGAAGAGTCAAAGTGCACAGACAAGGTGGCACAGGGACAAATATCCCAAGCCGACCAGCCCCAAGCAGGGCCCCGGCAGGCCGAGCCTTCTCTTCCAGGCTCCAGCATCCTCCACTCAGGCTGAGCCTGGGAACCCCGCCTCTGGCACAGGCCACATTGGTAGAATGAACAGATGCAGCCTTTCCAGAGCACTGCCTCCTCCTACACGTGCAGGTGGCTTAGGAAACCCTGCTAAAAGCTAGAAGTGACGGGGTGGGGGGTGCCAGACCCTTGTGCTTCCCTGTGGGAAGGTTAACTCAGCAGGCAGATCTCCCTGGGGCACATCATATCTTACTCTAGGACAGATGGGGGAGGGGAGGAGGACTCTTAAAGGCACTGGGCCTGGAACCACTGCCTAGGAGCTGAAAAGAAGGTTCTAGCGCTCTGATAGGTTGTATTTATAGCCATCTCCACCCCCTCTTTGAAGACACCTTCACAACTTGGGGGAGGGAGAGCTGGGCAAAGGGTCAGACGATGTTTTATAATGGGACCAGAGCTGGCTCAGATTCCAGGGCTTTCTCAGAGCAAGACTGTTGGCCCTTGGCACGTGGAGGTGCCCAGCTACTTGCGTAACAATGCCACCCCTGTTCTTTTTGGTGCTCACCCCAAAAGCCTGGTAAGGATCCTCCTGTTTCGTGGGGTGGGGCAAAGGCCAAGGCTAAGGCCAATGCAGCTCTGGCAGTGAGAGGCACGGGGCCAAGGAGCAGGGAGCTCACATCTTCCAAGCTCCCCGTTCAAAGCCCCAGACCGAAAAGGCACAGTGGGGACTGTCATTCAGTTTCTCCCCTTCCCTCCTGGACCCAGAGCTTCAGGCAGACTCTAAGCTGGGAAGGAGCAGCAAGGTGTGTGAAGACGCAGTGGAGTACAGCAGGCAGGGGCTGTCCTGTGCCATCATTGATGACTACCAACCAGTTGGAGGCAGCATTTGGCTGTGACCAGACAGGTCATCAAGGCCAGTAGACACACGATGACCTGCAGGCTGCCTGTCTCTGCTCCACGCTGCCCAGACTACAGTCGGCTCTTCCCTCGAAGAACCCAACTCCACCGCCCTTAAAATCCTTTGATTAAGAAAATCTGGAGTTTTCCTTAAACTCAAAGGAATAAAACAAGCACTCTAGCTCAGAAAGACCTGGCCTGGCCAGATGTGGGGGCTCACGTCTGTAATCCCAACACTCTGGGAGGCAGGAAATGTGGGAGGATCATTTGAGGTCAGAATTTGAGACCAACCTGGGCAATATAGCGAGACCCTGTCTTCACAAAAAAATTAAAAATTAACCAGGTATGGTGGCACATGCCTGTGGTCCCAGCTACCTGGGAGGCTGGTGGAAGGATTGCTTGAGCCCAGGAGGTTGAGGCTGCAGTGGGCCATGACTGCACCACTGTACTCTAGCCTGGGTGACAGAGTGAGACTCCATCTCCAAAAAAAAAAAAAACAGCCCAGGAATGGTGGCTCATGCTGTAATCCCAGACTTTGGGAGGCTGATGCAGGTGGATCACATGAGGTCAGGAGTTCAAGGCCAGCCTGACCAACATGGTGAAACCCCATCTCTACTAAAAATACAAAAATTAGCTGGGCATGGTGGTGCACACCTGTAATCACAGCTACTTGGGAGGCTGAGGCAGGAGAATGGCTTGAACATGGGGGGCAGAAGTTGCAGTGAGCCAAGATCGTGCCATCGTACTCTAGCCTGGACAACAAAAGTAGAACTCTGGGCCGGGCGCGGTGGCTCAAGCCTGTAATCCCAGCACTTTGGGAGGCCGAGGCAGGTGGATCACGAGGTCAAGAGATCGAGACCATCCTGGTCAACATGGTGAAACCCCGTCTCTACTAAAAATACAAAAAATTAGCTGGGCATGGTGGCGCGTGCCTGTAATCCCAGCTACTCAGGAGGCTGAGGCAGGAGAATTGCCTGAACCCAGGAGGCGGAGGTTGCGGTGAGCCGAGATTGCGCCATTGCACTCCAGCCTGGGTAACAAGAGCGAAACTCCGTCCCAAAAAAAAACCATTGAAATCCAGCCTAGAGCACTATCCCGCCAAAAAAAAAAAAAAAAAAACCACAGAGACAGACCCAGCCTCTGACCCCAGCTAGGCCTCAGTTTCTCATCTGCAGAAAGGGGAGAGCAGCCATGATGTGGTTAGTGCAGGACCTGGTAAGAGATGCCAAACACACAGTGTGGCTCGGCACCTGCAACTCACCTGACAAAGTACATGAGTCCATTCAGAGTCACAGTCTTGGGGGCGAAGGACCAGGGCGGGAGCTGGCCACAGTCCACCAGCGACCACAGGTCAGTGTTGGGGTCATAGCACTGCATCACCATGGTCTCCTTGCCGGCCAGGGAGCCGATGGCATAGAGCCGGCCGCGGCAGGCGGTGGTGGAGCAGTTGTCCATGGGATAGGTCATGGGCTGCAGGGCCTCCCAGGAGTCGGTGGTGTGGTCATAGCGCTCAGTGCTGTCAGCAGCCACCACGTACAGCAGTCCATCCAGCACAGAGGAGCTGTGGTACTCGCGGGCCTTCAGCATGGGTGCCACCTCCGTCCACTCATTCACGCTTGAGTTGTACCTCCACACGCAGTCGTAGAGCCGGGAGCCATCGGACCCACCTGCCAGGGTGCATGACGGGCAGGTTCAGCCCACTCGCGGCGAGTCACCCATCTGCACCCTCCTGAACTTCCGAGAGGGCCTCTCCCTTGGGAGGAATTTTAATGTCACTGGGCTTCACCTCAGACACACGTCCTCTCCCCAAAGCCGAGGCCACATGCTGTGGCTAAGGCAGAGCACATGCTGAGCACTGCCAACGAGACAACCACCGCCAAGCCTCTACCAAAGGTCCTGGGTGCAATGCCGAAGAATCTGGCAGCCTCCTCTGGACACCTCAGCCGACCAGAGCACCCGGCCGTGGAACAGCTCTGCTGAGGAGCCACAGAGCATGTCTGCAGGGTGCACAGGGACTTGCTCACTAAGTCCTAGGGTTCCTGGGCACCCTCCAAACAAGGTTCTGCCAGGACTAGAAGAGCAGAAGCCCACATCCTCCTATAAGCAAGAGACCTAACAACATACAGCCCACTTCTTGATTCTGGTACAGGTTACAAAGCTGTGTTTTGTTTAGGAAAATCCATCAAGCTGTGTTTAGTACAATTTGTATACTCTTCTGCCTGAATTACTTTTTTTTTTTTTTTTGATGCAGTCTTGCTGCCACCCAGGCTGGAAGGCAGTGGCATGATCCCAGCTCACTGCAACCTCCACCTCCTGGGCTCAAGCAATCCTCCCACATCAGCCTCCCGAGTAGGTGGCACACACTGCCACACTGGGCTAATTTATGTATTTTTTGTTGAGACGGGGTTTTGCCATGCTGCCCAGGCCAGTCTTAAACTCCTGAGCTCAAGAGATCCACCCACCTTGATCTCCCAAAGTGCTGGGATTACTGATGTGAGCTACTGCACCCGGCCCTCTATTTTGAATTTCAATAAAAATGCTACTAGGTGTAATCATAAATTACACCAGGTCTATCAGGGCTGTTAGAAACCCCAGAACATGAAGGAACCCCAAGAATCCTGGGGCTGCACCCCTTGGCCTCCCAGACTGGCGCCACCAGGACTGAGCAGACAGGACATTCTGTCTCACAGCCCTGAGCTCTAAAGGAAGAGCAAGTTCTTGTTCTTAGGAAGCGCACTCTGCCGGCCTCCTCCCTTCCATGGAGCTGTGTGAAAGGCAGCTGAATGGAATGACCCAACCACCTGCCTAAACCCAGGGGATTAACTGCTCTGCTGAGACATTTATGGAAGGGTGTGCAGAAAGCTGGGGCGAGTCTGACTAGTTCTGGGAAGCAATTCTCTGCTCGAAAACATTGGTCAGACTTTGGGGAGAGGGGAGGGACACAGTCTCCAGTCAACTTGGGGACAACCTCAGATTGGAAAGACGAACCGACTCTGGCAGATTCCAGCAGAGGCTGGACTCGGAGCTGCAGGGCAAGGGAGCTGTGTCCACAGAGCCCAGCAACTGTCCCATTTGACAGCTCAGAGTCCCACTGGAACTCAGGGCACGTCCCAGAGTGGGCTCTCTGGCGAACATGCAAGGCTGGGCACAGCAGCTGTGACATCCCAGTCCCCACCTCCTTGCCTGATAACTGCCTCACATGCCTGCTTGGTGGGTTCTTTCCTTATATAGCAGTTACAGAGACCGCCCTTCCTCACCCCGGGGAAGGAGGTAGCCTAGTGTTTAAACTGGGATTTATCTTCAATAAAAACTGCAGGAGAAGCCCAAACCCAGGCGGCCTGGGACCCGCCTACCATGACTCGGCAGTGTTTTGGGGCTTGTGCCAAGTAACTGAAGAAAATCTCTAACATGTGACCATGTTTACAGTCTCTGGGGAGGTCAGCCTAAACACCATGTGACCACAGTACAGCGCCTAGGTGAACCGTGTCACCGGTGACAAAGAGTGAGTCAGGGGGCGGGGGTGGCTCAGCAGGGAGGGCGACATTCCCCTGCTGGGGGAGAACAGATGCCTCACCACCGGGCGTCAGCCTCCTGCCTGTCCCTAGATTCCTTAAGGAGGAAAAGAAAACAGCCATTGTGCGGGGTGAATGCCCCAGTTATCTTCCAACCAAGTGGGGAGGCACCTTCGGGGCACGGAGTTGGCTCAGCCCGGCGCCCCGGCCGCACGGGTCACAGAGACTCACAAGCAATTACTTGTCACGGCTCACACAAGGGGCGATACTTTCCAAGGATGATACTTGAAAAGTATCGCCCAGAGAAATGCAGTCACCCGGGCCCCAGCTTGGACTCAGGTGCGGCCCTAAGATTCCAGGCTCTGTGCGTTTCTCCTGCGGGTAGCCAGGCTCCCGCACCGGCGAGGCTCCACCTCAGAGAGCCTGCCCAGCCCTCGGCCCACTCACCCGTCACGTAGATGTCATTGCCCAGCGCCACGATGCTGTAACCCCCGCCTAGGTGGTCTGGGAATTCGGCTAGGTAGCGCCACTGGCCCGTCTGCGGGTTGTAGCAGTCGACAGTGACCAGCTCGTCGCAGTCCTGGTCGCAGCCTCCCACGAGCACGAGGATCTCGGCGAGGCCAGTGGAGGGGCGAGGACGCATTCGGGGGCAGGGCCCGCGGTCGTGGCGGTCATAGCGCGCTGCCTGGAAGTCGCGCGCCTCGCGCAGGAGGCGCAGGCAGGGCGGGCAGCGCGCCACCAGCGGCTCAGCCTCGACGTGTGCCAGCAGGTAGAAGCGTCGCACGAAGGGCAGGCGCACGGCCTCCAGCAGCTGCGGCCAGTGCGTGGCGCGGCGCGGCGGGTCGGCGCGGACCCAGCGCAGCGCCAGCTGGTAGGCGGCCTCCTCCTTGGGCACGCACAGCCCGTCGTCCCGCAGGTAGCGCAGCAAGCGTGCCAGCGGCAGCCGCTCCAGCTGCTCCGCGCCCAGCTCGCCCACGTGGCGCAGGATGAAGCGCTGCGCCGCGCTCGCCAACCCCGCGCAGCTGAAGGCCTCGGCGAAGTCCTGCATGTCCAGGCAGTTAGCCAGGTCCAGCTGCTGCTGCAGGAAGGCGCCGCAAGCCTCCTTCACGGCCGGGAACTGCAGCAGGTCGGCGGCGCGCAGCAGCGGCTCGGCGTTGTCGCCGCTCACGGCCACGCGGCCCGTGTAGCTGAAGTCCAGCAGCAGCTGCAGCATGTCGGGCGGTACTCCGTGCAGGCGCACCCGCTCGGCGCGGCTCTCGCGCAGCTGCCCGGCGAACATGGCGCGGAAGTAGGGGCTGGCGGCGGCCAGCACAGCGCGGTGCGCCGGGAAGTCGCGCCCGCCTGCCGCCTCCAGGGTCACGTCCAGGAACTTGCGCTCGGCGCGGAGCTGGCTCAGGCCGCGCAGCAGGCTGAGGGCGTGCGCGGGGTCCGAGAAGGGCAGCACGGCCAGGGGCGCCGGCCGCTCCATGGCGCTTTCGCTCAAGACTCGGAGACACCGCGGCCGGGGCCTGCGGAGAGACGCGGCGCGCCTGGTACCGCTGCTATAAATAGGGCGGGGCGCCGCGGCCCCTTGGGGAGCGGGACTGGCAGGGAGAGGCGGGGCGTCGCCGTCACCACCTCCTTAACTCCTCCGTGCCCGGCGCCACCGCCCCGAGCGCGGGCTTGCCTGCCCCCCACGCGGCGCCCGCCCCCGGCTCCGCAGGGTGAATCACCGGGGTCCTCGCCGCGGTCCCTCCCTCCGCCCTTCCGGGTCTCCCCGCGGACTCCCGTGCCGGGGACGGCGAGTGACAAGTGCCAGCTCCGTGGGCAGCCCAGCCGCGCGCCGGGACCGGGCTCCTCCCGGGGTTGCCTATGACCCATCCGGCCCGGCCACTGAACCCAACCCGGGGGAGGCGAGCTCGGCCCTGAAACCGAAGCCACCCCTCCTTTCGCGCCAGACTTCCCAAGGGCGCCGGCCCAGGTCCCGGGGCGGCTGGGTACAATGGCTTTTTGTTTTGCTTTTTGAGTTCCACTGGTTTCAAGGGTTGCTAGTTAACCCTGTCACCGGATACAAAGGATAGGCTTTTTACCATTCTGAACCAAAGCAACAACGCGTATCAAGTTTTTCGGTGGCGTTTTTTCTTAGCGCATTTATAAGCGATCCGGAGCCGCATTCCAGGAGTCGGCCCCACTCCTGTGTTCCTGCAGGAGCTTCTAACTCAGCCATAGTGGCGTTCACTTTAGTTGGCTTCAGGCGTAGTTACAGTTCCCGAGCCTGCAGCGATGCTGCGGGCTCCTGGGCTGCCCGTCCCAGGGGCTCCCGGGCCTCCCTGCAGCAGCTGCTCAGACTCCATGAGAGGGGCCCTGGGGGGTCAGAGAGCGAGGGCTCAAAGTCAGATGGGAGACCGCCTTGAAACTAGGAGATGACGCCACTCAGCACAGTCTGGTCCACTTGTACTGAGATGCGGGAACGGTGAAAAGAAGAGAAATTACCCTTAGTTTAGTTCCAATAGACACAGCACCACTTTGAATGTCACTGTAGGGAAAAAAGAGCCCTCCCTTGGTTCTTCAGAGGAAGGCAGGCTTTGGTGAGTTTTAAGAGACCCCCTCCTTCACTTCCAGGACTGCTGCTTTGTAGCGGACACTTGGGTTTGTGCTATTTTCCAGCCCCCGCTACACCTGGCGGGGCCTTTGAGAACGCATTCCTGAGAAAGGAGCCCGCCCACGTGGGTCCCAGGGCAGGCTGGGCACATGGGAGCTGGCCGTCATTCCCTGGTGCCAGGGAGGTCTAGGTCCCGGAGCCCTTCCAGAAGACATTTTGTTTTTATTCCACCTCTGAAATGAGAACCGCAGGCTTTCTCTCCTGCTTGAGAGTTTTACGACATTTTGCCCTGAGAATGCATCTGGTCTGAATTTCAGGGTGAGCATGGGAAGTACAGGCCCAAGTGAGAAGACATTCAGGTACCCAGGCGGGCTGCCTCTTGCCCATAGAAGGACTGTTCACACAGCTATTCAAGGCAGCAGCAGCATTCCTGGGCCCAGGAGCAGGGCCAATAGCTTCCTCCCACAGGCGTAGTGACAAGAAAGGCCGAATAGCCAGGAAGTGGAATGTTTGTAAGGAAAGGAACTCTCGTCCCCCAGGTCAGCTTACCCACCTTGCATAAGTCCAATAATTAAGTCAATAATGTTGCCATAGTTGAGGACTGAGTATGCTTTTTTTGTATTCCCAACAGGGGTTATTTTTAAACATCGTTTCAGTGTATGTAGCTTTGAAGAATAACGATGTATTTATTGAAATGGAAAGATGTTCAAGCTATGAAGTGGAAAGTCAGATTACTCATCCTATGACCCAATTTGTTCTATGTATTCATATGCCTAAAACATTTTGTGAAGTTAACATTACAGCGGTGGCTCACACCTGTAATCCCAGCACTTTGGGAGGCCGAGGTGGGTGGATCACCTGAGGCTGAGAGTTAGAGACCAGCCTGGCCAACATGGCAAAAAACTGTCTCTACTAAAAATAAAACAAATTAGCTGGGTGTGGTGGCGCAAGCCTATAATCTCAGCTGAGGCATGAGAAGTGCTTGAGCCGAGAGGTGGAGGTTGCAGTGAGCTGAGATTACGCCACTGCACTCCAGCCTGGGTGACACAGTGAGACTCCATCTCAAAAAACAAAAAACAAAACCATTTTCTCTAGGTGGTTATGTTCATTTATTTTTTTTGCTTGCCTGCATTCTCTTTCTGTAGTACATGTACATTATCTGTTAAAGAAATAATTCAAGTTCAAAATAAAATTAAGAATTCATATCTTGAGAAAAGAAGTATTTCATTGATAACCCGCGTCTACCAGTAAGCATGTGAAACCGTGTGTGTGTGTGTGTGTGTGTGTGTGTGTGTGTGTGTGTGTGTGTG